GTTCCAGAGTGTCTATTGAGGAGAGCAGAAGAAAAAAGCCATTGGAGTTGGTGATAATATGGTAGCATATAAGAAAATATTGCAGTTCAGGTGCAATAAAAGTTTGACGTGGTTAACCTCTTCCAGTTCACAGTCTGTATATTAATGTTTGTCAGCATAATGCCCCATCCTGAGTATAATACACATCCTCCCATTGAGAGCCATCAGCCAAGAATTTGTATGGCCAGTGGCTCTCAATCCTCTTGGTCTCCACTGATAATGTCAGCTATGACATAGTAATCACATACAAGCTGGACGCTCTGATGACTAAATAAATCTTCAGCCTGCAAATGGCACCGCAGCCTGAAGGTGGCAGTGTTCATCTGTTTAATACTAAATTTGTAATACACAATTACAGTATTAAAATTATAGATTATTTTAAAAATAGGAACAATTACAATTTATTTGTACATTTCTGCGCATTTGTTACCCTGTAATACAAACACAGAGAAGGATTTTTATTAAAACAGTATACCAAATAAAAGCCTTATATGCCCCTAAAACTATATGGTAACCACACACCCATTACATCACATTTTAGACCAAATGTGTCAGAATAACAGTTTACCAACAAGATAGACGGTGTCTTTAGGGCACAGGAGAATTAGACATCAATTATTATTATACATGATTCAGAGAATTCCCCAACAGGACATGTGAGTGCACACAAGACATAAAAAATAAAGACAGTTTACGGGGTTTGTACATTTCTTTTTTATTATTGTCAGAACTTTTTTGGTCAAGAAAATATAAAAGATGTCATATTAATATTATGCAGCCTTATCCAGCCAGCAGGTGGCACCCCAGACAGATTGCATCCAGGGTCACACTTCTGTCCCTACCACAGGTAACCCCTGGATGTGTGCATTGGTGTATTATTTTTTGGGGCTGCCCTAGGCAAGATGAAACTAGGACCCCCCCCCCAAGTAAATCTGCAGGATCTCAGGGCTGTGAAGGATCTGTGGTGGGCTCTGCAGGGTCTCTTTAGCAGCAGTGTGATCATCTTACCTGTTAGGGGTCTGTTTAGACCCCTAATATTTCCCAAAGCCCCCCCCAACAGTAAAATAATAATTGAAAAATAAATAAAAAATGTGTTAAAAAAAAAGCACAACTGCCCCCTCCCCCACACACACATAACATACACGTGCACCATATTGTGGTGTACGTCAGGCACATGCGCTGCAGTGCGTTGTTAGAAAGCATCGCAGTGCATGATTTTTTCTATCGGAAAAAAAAACATTAATTTAACAGGCAGCGCATGGCAAAGCTTTGTGACGCATTGCCGTGCGTTGTAATACCTTGTGTTGTAATTAAATATATACGCCTGTATCATTTTATCACAACACAAACACAGCGCAAAAACCATTTATAACATAAATCGCTTATTTACAGTTTATGTAAAATATATAGCCTGTGGTATTCTGCATAACTATAATGATTATACAGGAATGCAGAATACCACCAGCTATACAGGACTACAAATTCCAGCACTGGCGGAACTACCGGGTCGCAATTGCGACCGGGCCTTGGCGTGCCGCCTGTTGGGGGGGTCCAGAGAGGAAGAAGATCCCCCCCCCCGAGATAGTGCCGCTCCTTCCCCACCGCTCTGCCTGCAGAGGCTGTCACTAGTCCAGCAGAATGCACTGCAGGCACTGCCAGGCAGCACATTCTTCTGTGACCCTCTCCTCTTAGCCCCGCCACCTGGCCGCCGAAACACAGAAGAGGGTCCTGCATGAGAGTCAGGTAAGTCTGGACCGGGAAGGGGGATGCTGGTGGTATTCAGCATACCCCTGGTTTTTATTATGATGTATTGCTGGGACTTTTAGTCCTGTTAGCAGGTGGTATTCTGCATTGCTGTGTAATCATTATAGATAGAGCAATGCAGAATAGCACAAACTATGCAGGACTGCAAGTCCCAGTAATGCATTATATTTTTAAGTAGGTATGCACCAGTCGGTGCCAATACTGGGCATTTTCACATGTACTCATACTCGTGAAAATGCCCCGATACTAAACGCAGATCCCGGTGTTCTGTCGA